ATTCAGCTTTCATGCGCTGGTGCGTGAAATTTTTAACTGTTTTCCAGTGTTTGAACTATTTCTGCACAGACTAAAGTACAGAGCAGTGAAAATCATTAATAGGCAATCGTTCATGGGCTGATTTGCACAAAACGCATAATCGCACCAGCTGGTCTGGTGCGCATTGCTATTTATTTTTCTTTTTTCAGGAAAAAGTAGCCTGTTCAATAACGAGCGTCGATGGAAGGATGATCTGACTTTCCAAGCACTTGGCACAGTTGATGAACTCAATTCTTACTTGGGGTAACATCTTGTTATTCTTTGTAATTTGGCATACATACATTTTGCGTAAATTCCATTTACATAAATTCAGTAGCCCACAAATCCTTCATACCGCCGCGGATCTTCTGTTTCCAGGTTTTATAACTTATCTTTCCACCGTTCTTTCGATTCCATATTGTGGAGTAGATTAGGTGAATCAAGAGAGGACAAGAACAGTGAAGCAAAAAGGACTTTTTGACTTTTTTTGCTCAACACAATTTTCAGAATTTGCCGCGAATGGGTATACCAGAAAGGACTTTTTGACGTTTCCGATGTGCTTCTCCGTGTTCAGTGCTGCCTGCAAGATGTCGGCACTCATGTTGCGACACCTGTTGATTCTTCGTCAAACTCCAAAAAAGGTAGTATGATCTTTTAAATTTTTTTCTAGTGCAAACAGGTGATTTCTGACAGAATCGCATCAACGTGTCGGATGCTATTTTGGGAGAGAAAGAGAGACTTTGAAAAAATCGAAATACGAGAAGCTCACATCGATCGCGAATGGAGCTCTTTTTTGAAAATGTTTGTGGAGCAGGAAGGAATCGAACCACTCTTCACACCCGGATGCAATCTGATTGTAGCATGATTTTAGCGTAGAAGTAATATTAAGAACATGCGGCAAGAATAGAACGAACTGTGTATTGATGGATCTAGAAATAATACTGGTGTAGAAAAGTAAGTACGAAAGAGTTTATTATTCTTACTGTTACTGTTATTATTGATTTTGTTACTATCAGTGTTATCTTTCACAGAAATGGCGAAATTTGATGTATCGCTATTTGAATATGTGAACAGTCAAATCGACGTGTACGGTGATCGTGTACCGCCAAGCAAAGTCTTCATATTACCGGTTCGCGCTTCATTTTTAGTATGTGAAGTGATTGCTCTCACACATTGCTAATGCACGGCGGTTATACATACTTTTGGTAGTGTGAAATATTTTTGCTTGCGACTGTTAAATCATCTTGAAAAGTTCTAAAAAGAATAAGCGCTTCTGAACAGTTTGGTAGAACGGTTTTTCATTTTAAGGATGCCTAATTGATTTTTTAATGCATTTAGTGCTGTGCAACAGCTGCGCAAAGCACATGCTGTCATGGGGTTGTCTGTGTCTGTATTTATGTCCGTATATATGTGTGTGTGTGCGTGTGTGTGTGCGCGCGCGTTTGCGATGCATCTTGTCCACAACTTCCAACTCGGGAACCATAAAAGCTAGGAAGCTAAAAATTTGGGGCGAATGTTCCTCGCTCACGTGTGATCCCACAAATTTAATTTCGGCCTTCCCCTGTCCGTGGGTACCACATACTACCAAATGAAGATTTTGGCGGGGAAAGTTGTTGTCTCGGAAATTCTGAAAGCTTGGGAGCTGTAATATTTCACTCCTGCCCATGTGTAACTCCGCGGTCTATTTACCTACTGAATTTGTGTCAATATAATTTATGGATTTTTGTATTCCAGGGCGGTGGCTTAACAGCGGCTCATTTACAGTATGGACGTGCCATTTGTCGCCGTGCTGAGCGTACACTAGTACCGTTGTTACGAGAAGGAATGATTGACAAGAGCTGCCTTCGCTTTCTCAACAGGTCTGTTTCAAAATTAACTCGAAATGTCCATCGATTTCCTTGCTATAGAGTATTTGTTGCTGTTTTAACGCCAGTGGAAAACTTAAGTTTTAAAGGAAAAGTTTTATTTCGAATTGATTAGATGGAATTTTGTTCTCTTCAACGTCAATTGCATGTTTAGACATCTTGTACTGTGATATTGTAGGTTGTGTTTTACCATATTTCAGTTCTGTTGTCATCTTTTGCAAATGTTAGTGGACCGGAGAAATGAAACATTTCGTCTTCACATCCGGACGCAACGCGCTACTCACTACCCCACTGGTCCTTGTTCCTCAGGAACTACCTTAGAGCACATCTGCTGTGTATCTGCCTGTAAGAGCTTGCTTGTCTGTCTTCCCATGGGCAGTACATACCTCTTTGATGGTGGCTTCTTTGCTGGCTTTTCGCATTTTTCTTACGACAACCACAAACATGGTGCAAAAAATCGTCTGTGATGCTAGTAGTTACAAACTTTCATGGAGGATTATTCTACAAATTGAAACAATGAGTTTTTGGGTGTTTTTGTTGGGAGCAAGTGATCTTGCTCTCCCCTTTCGAGAACGTTCCAGCACAACTCGGATCTGGAGCG